ATCTTGGAAAGTTTTAATAAGCATTCTAATAGGCCTACTCTAAATATAATCATTAGAATATTAATAGGCTTTTGAATGGGTCTAATCCAAATATCTGATTTGTAGAGTGTAAAAGTTATTTTCAAATTAATAAAACCGGCAAACCCCATTTGGGTAGACTTAGTTTACGTACTACTTAAGAGTAAGTTTATATAGATAGAGTCTGACGTGGAAGAAGCTAGCTACTCACCTAAGCTGATGTTTGACTATCACAGGGTATCAAAGAAAACCGCATCGAAACGTGAAGATGTATAGCGTATACTTAATGTTTCTCAGGCGGAGAAAGTGAGCATTCTCGGTTGCCCTGTTAGTTTTGGACTTAGGTCCAGTAGGTCCGTGATGGTCGGCTGGACGCTTTTACGTTTCAATGTGTTTGGAACATATGAAGGATGAACTGTATAGCTCGGGATAGATGCTTTTTCCCTTCCTTCACGTTCCATCAGATGATGTAAACATACTATTTTTCTTAGTGTGCGGCTTTTTTAACGGCACTCTCTAGGAAGGGCTTTAAATAGTCTTGATTGTCAGATATATTTCTGCGATTGTACCATATATAAAACGTGTACGATAATATTTAAATTCTCCTTTATCTATTCTCCATATATATCTTTAAATTCGGAGCAATCAAGAAGGGCACCAGAGTCATATCTTCTAGCGAGTAAAATTTCTGTAGTCGGAATACGACTAGTGCCTTTATTAAGCGCACAACAACCATTGGGGTTATTTGCCGTCGTAGATTATACTTTTAGTGTGTACATATGGGCCTAACCGTTTCGTTATTAATACAGTAGCATCGTAAATACGTTGTCGGACATTCACTTTGTCGCCCACCTGATACCCTGCAATCTTCTTGGAATTATTTTATCTATTTTGCCATTTTACTAAAGCTGAAATTGTTTCTTGCAAGCTAGAATATACAACGTGATATATACGTTGTATCTTTTCTAACCATGGTAGCTCATGGCGATTATGTCCTTCCTTGCTATATGGTATTTTAAACTCACTATGGTTGCCACGACAATGGTGAGCGGGTGTTCTTCCTGTAACCTGATCAGCACATTCGTTCATTTGTGCTAGTGACGATTTAAAATGGGGCTGCCAATCGTCTCGTCATCCGTTTATGCAGTACGCAGGAGGAACTTCAAGTCTTCTATGGTGTGTTCCATTCGCGTCTTGCATTTGCGGTGTATATGGTACACCTCTCTTATGGCACATGCCGGATACGAGTACTACTGATTCCATCACGTCATCAGATAACGCGCTACCGCTATCAGAGCACGCAAAACCTGGTCGTCCGTGGTGAGAAAAGACTTGGTAGCATAATTCTGCCACGGTCTGCGTGCTCTTATCATTTAAATGATAGAGCAAGTGAAACTGTGACGCCACATCAAAGAAGTGGCATATATAACGGTCGCCTGTATGTTCGGACGTGGGCAGGTCAATCAAATCAAAGATGACCCTGCGCCATGGAACACTATCGGTCACACTCTTAAGTGATGCGAACCCATAGCGCTTTATCTGGTTGTGATCACAGTGTGTAAATGACTGATATACTTTGTTCACTTTTGTTGCTCACTTAAGATGTGCCATTCTATTACACTTGATCGTTAAGTGCTTTTACTATATTCTGGTGCTTGAGCTTATGATTTTCCGTAGGCCAAGTGATGATGTTATCATTATTCTGCACTTCCAAAACAAAGGTAGTGTTTTCATACCCCGTACTAATTGTGTTTGAACATATTTGCGCTCATATACATATGATACATTCGAATTATTTAAAAGTCTTATGTGTGTATATACTTCGGGATTAGAAGGGTGTCTGAAAAACTTAGGGAATCGACTTTATAGTATTGAATGAAGGTTTAGCTAGAGATTTACAATTCTTAAGAGCTTGATGTGTAGTATATTGTATACGTTTACT